AATAGGCAATGGGTATATGATTCTGCATTAGTATTGCACCTAGTCCGTATCCTGAAGCATTTGTCTCCACAATGAAGGTTTGAGAAAAATCTGGCAAGGCTAGGACCGGTACCGTAGTCATCGCCTTCTTCAAGCTCTCAAATATTAATGTGGCCACCTCCCCCAATAGGAACCCGTCCTTCTTCAACTGTTCAGTGAGTGACCATGATATGGAGCTATACCCCTTCACAAACCTCCTGTAGTAATCCGTCAGTCCTAAGAATCCCCTTAATTCCTTCAGATTTTTCGGCACGGGCCACCTTAACATTGCTTCAATTTTGGACTAATCTGTTGCCACTCCCTCTTTTGACACCACATAACTCAAGTACTCTACACTAGCTTGTGCAAAGCAGCATTTCTTCAAATTAGCCCTCAGCTGGTGCTCCTGCACTACTTCTAACACCCTCTTCAAATGCTCCCAATGCTCCTCTTCTGTCCTACTGTAGACTAGGATGTCGTCAAAGAATACCAGTACAAATCGTTTGAGTTAAGGTTTGAAACCTTATTCATGAGGGCTTGGAAAGTAGCTGAAGCATTGGTAAGGCCAAACGACATCACCAGGAACTCATAATGTCCTTCATGAGTTCTAAAGGCCGTTTTTTGTACATCCTCCTTCCTCATTCGGATCTGATGGTAATCTGATTTCAAATCTATGTTGCTGAAAGATCACGGTTCCACTCAATTCATCTAGCAGCTCGTCAATGACTAATATAGTTTCCTTGTTGAGTGCTCTGTAGTCCACACAAAAACGTCAGCTAACATCATTCTTTTTCACCAACAGAACAAGGCTAGAAAAAGGGCTGATGCTGGCTGGGTCTGATGATCTCTGCCTGCAACATTTCTCTAATCAACCTTTCTATCTAATCCTTTTGGAATTGAGGGTAGCGATAAGGCCGAACACTGATGGGCGACACTCCCTACTTCAATACAATGGCATGCTCCTGCCCCCTCTACGGTGGCAATCCCTGAGGTGGCTGAAATACCTCTTTCAATCTTGCTTCCTCGCAACTCCACTAAATACCCTCGGCCCGCCAACTGGATATCTTTTACCATCGTTTTAAGAGAAACTAGGGATTTTGAAAGCCCCGCATCTCCCTTAATCACTACCTTCTTTTCGTCCACCATCAACTCCATCGTAAGTGCTCCCCAATTCACCTTGTTGTCACCCAAAGTTTGCAGCCATTTCATCCCTAGTATGACATCTGTGCTCCCCAGCTCTAGTGGAAGGAAGTCCTCCATCACCTGTATCCCCTGGATCGTCAGTCGTACTTCACTACAAATCCCCTGACTTTTCTCTATCTTCCTCGTACCCATCATCACTTTGTAGCACCCTGTGTCCACCAATCTTATTCCCAGTTGGTCTACGACCTGGGTGGAAATTAAATTGTGGGTAGCCCCACTATCAATTAGCACCACAACCTCCCGGTCCCCTATCTCTCCCTTCACTTTCATGGTGTGATTCATAGTGAACCCCACAACTGAGTTTAGGGAAACCTCAGCCAGATCCAAGTGTAGCTCCTCTTCTTCTTCTGTCACCTCCTCACCTCCCTCCTCAGTTTCCTCGTCATCGCAGACGATGAGAACCTGAAGAGTTCGGTCCTTGCACCGATGTCTTGGCGTGTACTTTTCATCGCATCGAAAACACAACCCCTTAGCCCTCTTCTCCTGCATTTCTTTCTCTGTTAGCCGTTTGAAATTTCCTCCCCCGTTTTCTCCTTGGTAACTTCTTTACTACCTTCTGTTGCAGGACCTCAAGGTGCGAGATGAGTGTTCGTCATTCGGTATGTGCCCCTGGTGCTGCTACTCCTAGCTCCCTTTTCCAATTTTTTTTTATTTTCCACCAGTTGGGCTAACCTCATGGCTTCTCCTAAGTCACAGGGCATCAAGACCTTTACTGCTGCTCGGATCTCCGCCTACAGCCCTTTCATGAAATTTTCTTCTGAGTCGCTCCACCCTGCTAGCTAGGTGTTCAAACTGCTCCCGGTAATCTGCAATTAATCCCTCCTGTGTCAGAGCAAAGAGCTGCTCATAGAAGTCTCCTTCCCGATCGGTTTGGAAATGTTCTATTATGTAGTCTTTAAATTCCCTCCAGTTCCTGATCGGCCTCCTTTGGTCTCTCCACTGAATCCACGACAGGGCTTTTCCTTCCAAACATAATTCGGCTACAGTTAGCTTCTCCTCTTCCGTTAGCCCATTGACAGCGAAGTATCGCTCCACCTTGTAAATCCACCCATACGCATCTTCTCCTTCGAATCTGGGCATCTTCAACTTCCTCACCTTTTGATCCCCCCCCCATTGCCTCGAATTCTTCCATAGTTTCCCCTTTCCCAAGTTCTAGGTGCACCCCAAGTTTCCCGATCTTCTCTTGCCCTGCCATAGCCCAAACCCCCGTCAAAATCCCCTCTTCTCCCTTCAAAATCAGCACCCCGACGGCCGTAAAATCCCTCATAGTGTTCCCAATCAGCCCTTCCTTGCTCCGCTCCCCCATATCCATACCTTTCCCCATATCGATCTCCTCTTTCCTCCCTATGGAAAGGCTCCACATAGGGTCTTCTTCTTCCCCCTTCCACAATTTCCACATCTTCTTCTTCCTTTCGGATTTCAGAATTGGTGTTTTTCGCTTCAGAGCCCTTTGCTTCGGATGCCGTCATTTGTGCTTGAAGTTCCAACATTCTTTTCATCATATCTCTGAGATCGGCCACATGCCCCTCCATGGAAGAAATTATTTCCTCCATGGTTTCTTTGATGTGATTCATCTCTCCTTCGAGTCTCTCCTCCAAAGAATCAACTTTCTTGGCCGTCATTACGATCCGGAGTTTGTAGATTCACAAAATCTAGATCTTGGAGTCAACAAACAGCAACTTCCTCCTTTTCCGGGCAAAAAACTGCTGCTGGAATTTGCCGAAAACAGCCCTCCACCAGCCCCAAGACTCACTCTGATACCAATTTGATAGGAAATACTTGAGTTCGCAAGTAACCCTAAGGGAATACTTGAGTTCGCAAGCAAACTTGTCACTAATTGGATGAAAACAGCGAGAAAATAATCAAAATACGGGCGAAAACAGCCCCAAAACAGTAGATTGCACTAAGGAAGCAAAGCAAAACACATATAAAGAAAGATACAAGTGATCCTCTATTTGCAAGGAGAATCGTTCTCTCTTAATCTCTAGACGCAAGGTCTAGAGCTCTCAAACCTCACAAGACTCCAAGAGAAACTCCAACCTAAGCATGCCTAGCCTTAATCCCTTCATGCCCTTTAAATAGCCCTCTCCACCTTCTTAAAAACTTCCTAATATAAGATAGTATTTAATCAATTCAAAATATATCAAATCTTTTTAATTAATTAAATCCTCTTTCCAAATATAAGATAATATTTAATTAATTCAAAAGATATCAAATCTTTTTAATTAATTAAATCCAAACAAATTGGGCGTGGGCCCCTCCCTTAGGCGGTGTAGGAAGGAGGCGGTTTGACCCGCCTCCTGTACACAAGTGGAGATTGAACTGACATATCAGCATGTCACCTAGGACACTCGTACACTCATGACTCACAATGTGCTTATTCATTTTATTTTGTTCAGGTACATTCACCTAAAACAACTGTAGGACATTTGTAAGGATCTGAAGTGACAGTTGTTCACCAGAATGTGTTATCACAGGGTCATACCCATAATTTCAAATTTTAGATTAGTTATCACTCATATTTAGACATATTGCTAGGAATCCAAATATGAATGCCTCGAAATAGCATCTTAGCATGTTTTACACATGCATACTTTTCTTATCTTTTTATATTTGGATTTAAGCCTGGTGGGACCCACAAAGAATCAATATTTAGATTATAAATAGGGAGCCTTGACTTAGTTTATTTCACCCAAATTCACTTCACAAAGCATGTTCTTGAGAGGTTTAAGTGTGCATGAGTGTGCTAAGAGCTACAGGGAGGTTCTCTTTCACACATTGGCGAGTCTTCAAGTCTAATACAAGTTACTTATAATTCATGCATTTCATTCTTATTCTCATTTTTTACAACTTAGATCTCTTTCTTTTCATTTAATTTTAAAACTTTTAATTTCTTTTTAAGTTCTATTTGGGTCCCTTGTTAGTCTAAATTTTGACAGCATCTTGATGTCTTCCCAACATAGGGGATTTAATTGAGTATGTTGAGTCTTTCAATCACGTCAAAAAAGCATGCATGATTAGTGTTGTGTGACACTGCAGCTGTAGTCGTCAATCCGACCAACCAAAAAAGCTAATGCATATATAGTTCTTCAGAAACGTATTTGCAAGTCGCAATATTTCCCCCATTCAAAAAAAATTGTCACAAGTATTACATATTTTCCCAACGGTGCTACAAAAAGTGCACATGAGACTCACCCGGGATGTCACGAGCATCGCCTATAAGTTTTGAAGAGGCTCAAGCAACTACAGGGGTCGATTGGATGATTCATGTGAAGGAGGGAGAATAAGTGAGGGGGGTCCCGAGGGCGTGTTAGACGTGAGAAGAGTGTGCGGGTGTTGTTGGCTACTGGGTTTGACTGAGGGATGAAGGAATGTGTAGGTTTAGGTTTTAAGTTTTTTTTTTTTACAATACCAACTGTAATACAAATGAGTAATACATCATCATATGGCATGCACCGTACCAACTCTAAAAGTAATTATAGGTATGCGTCTAACACAAAGAGCTCCTAAGTAACTCAGCCAATCTAATTTACAAGTTAACTTATTTTTTCTCAAATCCTATATAGGCCTGTTGAAAATTTCTCGTCTATCCTTTCAAAAGAACATATCAGTTCATGATATATTAAGAAGCAGTCAATCAGATTTTCTTACAATAGGAATTCTGCTTATTTTTCATATCGGCATATCATAAGCAGATTCGATTATTGATTATAGAGCTGTAAAGACGGGATGAATCCTTCTTCCAAAAATATTGCTATAGAATAAAACAAGTAAATTACCGGGTCTATCTGTGATTTGAAATGCCTGTCAACAACGATTCTTGCCACAGCCTGCAAGAACAAGGCAATATGGAACCTAAAAATTTATTCTGGATAATGATGATAACAAAAAAATGAACTTAAACAAAAAATAATAATGAAAACTTCTTTCTCAAATTAGATTTATAATTGTGACAGAATTTCAAGAGCATTCAATCTCATGAAAATATCCCCAATCCCACTCAACTCAACATGACAATTCGCGTGGCCTTCTAAAGGAATAACATCAGAAATATTAGTATTCTCTCTCCCTACCACAAAAAGCAAGCAAGACAAGAAACACTGCAATAAGTCTGGCAATACCGGAGCTCTTCTATATGGCAAATCATTGAATAACAATGGCAACTGAGCCCGGCCCTGTTTTTACAATAATTTAAAAAGATACAAAATCCATAATGGAAAAAGTAAATAACTTCATGAAAGAAACGTTTCAATCCTTAAATAAAAATATCCTGCATTTTCAACTAGCGGGCACTCAGATAGCTGCTCATAGAGTTTCACAAATTTGAAAATTACAATATCCCCGGGAAGATCTAAAATCTAGATAATTCTCAGTAAATTTGAGGAGAAGAAAAAGCAATTCAGACTTCAGAGGTTAAAATGATCTAAGTTGGAATATATCACAACGCTTTAAATTAAAATTAATCCATCAATTGCCAATGAACAGTGACTAAGTTTTCAGGAAAATATTTGTGCGATCTTTTTGAATGAAATATTTGGGAGTCAGCTCTAAGAAACAATGCATTACAGCTTATTAGCTGAGACTAAATAGCAAGTACAATGAAATTGACTATGAAAGAGAATGGGCTCCAATGAAAAATATATTTATATAAATTACCCTCATTTCTGTCTGAGTAAGATATGTCTGTCCATCAGGATCACGAGACAAGTGAACTTTTTGTCCGAATCTTTCTCCAGCATCAGTCCATTCTTTACTCACATCTGAATCATCCCACATCAGCTTCATGTCCTCCGACTCCACACATTCATCCCAATATTTGTAGTACATAGGCATATTAAGATTGTTTAAAGCGTTTAACAATCTACAATGAAATAAAAAATAATAATATAAGCCACTCTAAGCCAATCACTTTCAACAACTAATGTGGTACTTCTGTATAGTATAAGAATGAGATATGCATGTGAACAATTCAGCTTGATATACGAATATCAACTTGCCACGACATCTTAGTCTGCACATAACATGCCAACATGGAACTAGCAGATCACCAAAGTGAAAACAGCATACAAAAAGTAAAGAAACTAAAATTCTTGATCATTTAAATCTTGGTGAAGAAACGTTTACCTAACCTACACTCTTGGCTAAGGAGAAAGTGTTTACAGTCCATATAATAATGTACTAAGATTTGTTTAATTTAAGAGTTTAGAAATGCCTTCTCCATTACCACTATAAAGCTTCCTAATCTTACACCTTCATTGATACAAAACCACTCTTAGAAAATGATTAATAACCTCATTATAGTAGTGTCAGAAGCCTGAGAAAAATATCCAACCAAAGTCGGCACATCATGACTTATTTCATTGGATGTAACGGAACAAGCAGTCGATGACTTAGACGGTATTATTGGCGACAAAACACCAAGAAGTTAACGATGTGAATTTTATGAACTAAACCAAGCTAATTTTTTTGAGTTTGTGGCAGCCTGATGGTTAATCAACCACTAAACTTGTCAACAGCGCGAAGATTTTTAAGTTCATGATAGTCATGAGGGCCATAAGTGACTAAACTTTTCTCATAAGAAAAAGGTAGATGTTCCAAGTTACGACAGAACAAAACATGCAACATTCATTTAAATGAATTATGAAAGACTGGCAGAGCAGACACTTTGGCTTTCGAAGTGGAGCTTTTATAAGAAGAATTTTGAACATAGAAAATGAATAGGAAGGAGTTTAGTTTCTGCAACCCAACAAAGGGATCATTTTGTTGCTTAATTTTAGAAAATGTGAAATTTTAAATTTTCATATTAAATTTTGGAGTAAAAATTTTTACTTGCAAAAAAAAAACTTACAATGAAAATTTAATCGGGAATTGTATTTTCTCCACAATATAAAATCAGCAGGAGCCCAACGTAGTCATGAATTGGATGATAATACATAAAACAATTGTATTTCTTATGTGCTAATCTCCTTTTATGTGTTGTTTGTTTTTTTTTTTTTTTTTCGCTCTGCATTTTTTGCACAGATTTCGCTTCTTTCCCAACAATTCCTTCATTTGGTTAGAGGTACTGAGAAATAAATTTCGTTTTAAAACACTATAAATATCTCCACAACTCCATTAATGGCTATTCTCACCTAAAATAAGTAAATAATGATATAATTTTCTAACGGCAAGCACCCACATGAGCCCTAATATACAATCCAACTCCACCTTGTTGATAATCAACTATTAATTTCGTGCGGACTATAATATGAGGAGCCAAAATTTGAAAAAAAAATTCTAACACTAAATTCAATAATCCATCCTTTATTCCTCCCAAGGGTAAAGCCTGCTTGGCGAACCTTTGATTCCCATCTATCTTATAAGGCTTCTGAACAATGACAGCTTTGCGAATTCTAATCAAATGAACATATGATTGCGATGTTACAGAACCAAAAAATTTATCAAAATATAAAACCTCCCAGCAAGTGCTAACTCTCTAAAACAAGAAACACAACCGAAACTATTTTTTTATATGGAAGAAAATAACAATTCGCGATCAGGTCAAACAAATATAAAACAAATCGAACAGAACGCGAAGTGCAACACATCTTGCATTGCGATTACCACCAAGCTAAATGTACTTCACGAGGAAATAGAATCTCTTTATAGAAGAAAAATGGCGCATTGATGCAATGTAGGGGAAGACAGGAACGAGAACCGTCGTGAAAAGGAATTTTTTTTTTTGGGGAAAAAAAAGAAGAATTGGGAATTGGGAATAAAATCGAAGAACGCGTACCAGTCGGAAGCGGGATGATTTTTTAGGATGTCGAGCGAGGAAAGGGGGGAGACGGGGATTTAGAGATCGGACAACAGAGAGATCCCGTATCTGGGGAGGACGCGTGGCAAGAGACGGATGGTTTTCATGGCTGTTTGGCGGAATACAACGGTTCAACTGTCAACTTCTCGCGTGTGTTTTAAGCCTTTAAAGGGTTTATGAAAAAGACGCGGTTCGAAATATTTAATTAATTCTGGTCGGAATTTGATTTTAAAATGGCGAAAGCCTTTTTTTTTTTTTTCCAAAAAAGAATTTGATTTAAAAATTATATTATTTTTTAGAAAATATTGCTTAAGAAGCTTTTTGACGTAATTAGTTGAGCATGAAATTGATGTTAATGAAATACATTAATTTAATTTTAATATCAATTATGTTAGAATATTTATATTTTTTTCTTTTTTCTATATCATTTATTATATTTAATCCTGATTTATCTCAACTGTAAGTGATAGCCAATACTTATTTATGGCAAAAAGTAAATATATACAGTAGAGGCAAATGAAATATAAAATGAGAATTGTTCATAGCAAAGAAAAAAAAACGATATAGTATTGATACGGCATCACAAAATTAACTTAATTGGACACGAATCTCGAGGCAAAAGCTAGTTGGAAACTTCAAAAATTAATTCCGGAAGCACCCAAACTCTGATTTCAGCAAGCTTATAGTCAAACTGAGCGTCTCGGAAATACGAATCCAACGACACCAAGATCAACCCAATCCGAGCCCAAATGAGTCTGAATCAAGTACCCGAAGTGCTGTTGGAAGGTTTAAACCGCAATTTGAGTTACCAAACAGTCTCTGATTTTGAAGAGCTTATACTCGAATCGAACGGCTCGACGAGACGAATCCAACGAGCTCAAGATCGCCGAATTCTGACATCACTAAGGCCTCCAAATGTTCAACGAACGATTCACGATCAAAGTGTTCAATATCGACCGTCCATTCAAGCCACTCCCTATTCGCCCATGATCTCACACCTATTTACGAGCTATGCCACTCCAAAAAAACTATAAATAAAGCTCTCATTCTACACAAAGGGGACTCAAGTGAAGAGAGAGAAGAAGAAGAGAAGAAGGAGAAGAATGAAAAAGCTCCTCCTCGACCACCGCCGGAGCTCTTCCCGCCGCCTGAAGACGCTGGAACTCTGCCGGATTTTCGGGAAACGCCGGGAATTTGCAGAACTTTGTAACTTTGTGAGAAGTTGATTGTAAATTGATCGTCTTGATTTGTGAGACGGATCAACCTTTGTACTTCAAACAAATACTAGTGGAACTTTGCAACTGGGCGAGACCCCGTGGTTTTTCCCTTTTTGGGTTTTCCACGTAAGAACTATGGTGTTCATTTCTCTTTTCTGTTTGTGTGCGGAATACTCGTGCAATGCTAAGACGAATATTTTCTAACTCTACTGCCGCGTATATTCTAGCACGCAACAAGTATAATAACTTATTATATAAATTTGCTTGCAAACTCATTTATTTAAAATATGAGATGAATATATTTATTTTTAGTTTTTTATTAGATATATAGATATCACTCAAAATTATAAGATTTACATGTTTAATATATAAATTTCATTGTTTAGACAATGTAACACTATTAACCTTGTTGACTATCTTGACAAAATTCTAAATGATGGAGAGGAAGTCATTATTACAAATTATCTCCCACATTGGATTCACCTAAATTTGTGTCCACCCAGCTTTTGCCATGTTCGTACGATCCATCAACTTCACTTGGAATTGTTCCTCCTGAAAAAAACCATTTTCCCATCTTTGAGGCCTCCAACCAAGCCTTGCAATCATTGATGTCCCGTCTTTGATAAATATCCCTCAATCAAATTAAATTTATTTGATATTAAAAAATTGTCAGCAAATTTCTTAAGGGAAGACCTAAGCCTCGCGACCGTCGCCGTAATGAATGTAAGTCATGATCGCCTCCAAATTTGGTCCTCTAACATGGATAATCAATGCCTCTTTTAAGAGAATATTGGAGCCTCGTGCATAGGTCCTGAAAATTTTGATCATATCCAAATATGATTCATCCAATAAGGACAGTCGAAAACTTTTAAAGAGATGGTTGGAGCCTCACCATAAGGACAAAAAGTTTTATTCGACAGCTCCTAGTTGAATTCAAAAATCATCAAAATTGAATGTGCTGTGAATTTTTTCCCAAAAATCAAATAAATATGCTTATCTGGGCTCAAAATTAGTCTCGCATGCAAGTTAGCAGACTTGGACGTAGTGGCTGAGCAAAAAACTTTTTATAGTGGGGGGACATTAAGAGAAGCTATTGCACATGAAGACAAAAAGCCCTCATACTAATCCTATTAATTTCCATTTGCTAATGCAATAGGAACTAAAACTATCATTTTTGCTCCCTCTATTGTAGCCTCATAATGAACTAAAAAAAGAAGAAGAGTAGAACATGAACGCTTCATCTCATAAATGGAATCAGTATTCTACCTCAAAACATTGGCTACATCTACTTTTTATTAGGGGGAAGTCCAGAGGGAAGGCCCAAATTGAATTAAAAATGAAAGAATGTGTAAAGATTCAAACTATTCTAGCTAAAAAGTCTAGACCAAGATGCTAAAGAAATCAAATGAAAATCTTTGAAGTTCTACATTTGAGCAGGAAACAGACAACAAAAACGAAAGAGTGGAAGATGCCATTACAATTTCTAACCTTTAAAATCGTCGTCATTCGCTTATGTTTGAAGTTCCGACTTGTAGAGAGCAGGCCAAAGGGAACCGCAGAGAGATTGATAGGTAATAGAGTAACAAACGTATGACCTTTCAAAGCACGCTTATCCTTTCCAACTTTCAGAAGCTCATTAATCCTTTTCTCATAAGGTGCAAACCCAGCAACCTTCCGTATCAAATTCCTCACAAAATGGACCCTTTTTCTAGTTTTCCCTTTCCTGCTTGAAGGTCAAGGTGGCAACAAAAAGACCAGTCTCGACTGTGCCGGAGCCATTTATTCCCTATGAGAGCATGAAAGAGTTTGACAGCGAATCTTAGATATTCAGAAGCCGAAGAGCGATGGCGGCAACAGATAGGAAGAAGTAGATGAGAGAGAGAGTCGACTAGGGACGTTGCAATAGACAACTCGAAGAAATCATCTCTGTCTCCTATCATAGGAGGGGACTGAGGACGTTAACCCACAACTAGAGATAGTTAAGAAAACCCTCTAATTGGACCAAACAATCTGGAAGCGATAGAATATTGAAATAAATAGTAGATGTTGTTTTTCATAGGAGGGGAAACGAGCAATGTGAAAGAAAATAGCTTGAGGTTAACCCAATATTTTTGTTGCGGGCTAGATCATATACGGCCATAGAGTTGTTATTTTACGTCTCAGTGTTGTACATATATCCACACACTAACAAAGAACACAAAATTCTTTACTTGGAAAACCCTAGAAAGGGAAAAAAACATGGGATCACGCCCAATTAAAATGATTTCACTAGTGTTTAAGCATATGACAGTTGACTAAATTGTCCTTAATTATGACTAGATTACAATAATCAACCGTCTGGTTGAAATCTAGTGACAAATGGAGGTTAGGTAAAGGTCCGACGACGTTAGGTTGGGCAGAAGTCCAGCGTTAGTCGGTGGTCTAGCAGAAGTCCGGGCATTAGTCAGTGGTTAGGCAGAAGTCCTAGCGTCAGTTGGTGGTTTGAGGGAATTTTGACATCAGGCGGTGGTCTGGCGAAAGTTTGGCCCCACTTAATGGTTAGGAGGAAGTCTAATGATGGTCGAGGAGGAGCTAGGTGCCAAGAGAGATCTCAGATCTTTCATTTCTTGCTTTGATCCCCTTTCATAAGAAATGAGGGGTCTATTTATAATTTTTCAAGAGTGTCAAGGCCAGTAAAATAGGAGGAAGATTAAAGGTAATTTGGTAGCGGTTTGAATAGACAACCGTTGTTGATTCTCTTGATTGTGGACATTTTATTTTGTATGTGAATGTCTTAATGAAATCATAATTCAACGATCTTGGGCTCGTTGGATTAATCTCATCAAGCCACTAGATTCGGGTCTTTGATTTGGACTTATTTGGGCTCGGATTGACTCAAATTTGGTGTTGAAGGGTTCATATTTCCGAGACATTCAGTTCGATTGTAAGTTTGATGAAATCAAATTTTAGATGGTCATGAATTTAATTTTTGAAGTTTCCAACTTAATTTTATTTTGAGATTCGTGCCGGATCAATATAATTTTTGTTGATATATCAAATCTCAAGGATGGCTGCTCTATAATTCATGGTTTTCATCTCCGTATGATATATTTTAAATTTTTGTGATATACAAAATTATGGCATATATATATATATATAGTCTAACAACCTCATTTTAAATTAACAATTTCCAAGTAAAAAAAAAGTAATTTTCATAAATTTATTTGTTCACAAAAAAATAAATAATATATTTTTAAATAGAAAAAAAAACAAGGTTATAATATGGACTTTGGAACTTATAATGTCAAATTCCCAAAAAAAAAAAAAAAAACTTATAATGTCGCCGTCTCTACCAAACTCCTCAGAGGAATAAAACGAAGCAATAATTTAAATTTTTTATGTAATTAATAAAACAAAACATCTGCACCTTCGTAGCCCCGCCGGTATACCCGCACGTGTCCCATGAAATGCGCAGTAGTGCGGTACCTTGTGCCGCGGAATGATATAATTGGTCGAAATTTGCGCCAAGACTAACGATGGATTTGACTAGTGACCAAGATCGAACGGTTTGTAGCAGTTGGGAATAACGTATGCGATGGAAATGACCGAAGTGGTGGTGGGCTCCACCGGTTCGGCCAATATTTCTTCTAGCATCGAAGCGGCGGAGCCTCCTACAGTCCTACCTAACACATAGTTCTCGACGACAAACCAACAACCGCAAGATCGGGCTAAGACCATCAATTCACACGATCTTCCGATACGCTCACCCTCGCTTATGCTCCTCTTATGTATTTTGTACGGAATAAAACAAAATCTTAGAAAAATATAATAAGCTTTTGACAGTTATGTATATTATGAATTATTATCCTTAAATTTGTTATTTTTTAATCCTATATTATTTTTTAAATAATTTTTTGTCTTGCCTTATCACTATGTGCATTTTTTTTATAAATATGAGTAGTTTAATATTTTTTATAAATATGAGCGCCCGACTTGAAAAATATAAAAATAAGCATAACTAGAATTAATAATTCCGATTTCTTAGAATTTATTTGGGCTCGTATTTGATCGAAATTGGTGTCGTTGGGATTTTTGACATGAAACTCATTTTGATAGAAAGTTAATTAGACTTAAATTAAATTTTTATTGATGAAAACTAATGTGAATAGACACTAAACAACATATTTTCTTAGTCGAGCTAAATTATGAATACAAGCTCCGGCTGATTGAAATTCAACAATGAATCTTGAGATGGCCTGTTGGATCTGCTGTTAGGGTTCTCAAGATGTATGAAAGAGCATTTAGGGTTTCTTGAAACCCTAACAATTTTTTTTTCTAGACTAATTTGTTCTCTTCTCCTTCTCTCTTGTGTGATATGTTTCTCTTCCTCTTCTCTTGTGTTTTGTATGGATCTTTCGAAAGATTTTCCTCTGTTAGCTTCAGCTAAAGTCCTGGATTCCTCATCATGGAAAATCTTTGAATACTTTGAAAGCTTGGAATGGATTATTGACCTATCGTCAATCTTCTCCCAAACCTTTTTCTATTTATTTTGTTCCCTTTTCAGATAATCTTGCTCATTTCTTGGAAGAAAATAGTTTGGTTGCTTCGAAAAAATGGGGTCTAATGCTGGTAGACTACTCCTTGGGTAGGCAACCTTATTTTGAAGCTCTACGGTATGTTATGCTTAAAGCATGGAAGCTGAAAAGTACGTAATTTATCTCTTATTGCTTTAAGCGAAGGTTTTTTCTTGATGAAATTTTCTTATCCTGTGGATTATGATTTAGTTTGGTCTAAAGGGCCTTAGTTCTCTTTTGGAAACCTTTTATTAAACAGCTTTGGCCTCCCTTGTTCTTTCCTAAAAGTGAAGAATTTACTTATATTCCTCTATGTATTAAGATTCTTGATTTACCTCTGGTGTGTTGGACTCTTGAATGTATTTCGAAGATTACAAGTCTTGTAGGAATTCCAATAGCGATTGATGCTTTAACGGCTGATCAGGCTAAACTTACTTTTGCTAGGGTTTGTGTTTTGATTAATAAGGATTCGCCTCTTCCTGATAAAGTAAAAAAATTATGTAGCTCGAAATATTTTCTTTAAAAATTTTGTATGATTGGAAGCCTACTCCATGTTCTGGGTGTGGTTCGATTGTCCATCCCTTCTCCTTATGCTCGACTAAGCCTCAAGATGCCAAAGAAAATGTTAATCCTAATTTTGATAGAGAGAGAAGTATGATTAGGAAAGTTTGAAATGTGTCTTATTGTCCTTCTAAATCTTCTCAACCTCCTAAAGCTTATGTCCATAAAAAATAACCATTATGAGGGTATCTCTGATCATGTTCCACTTTGGAACCTAATTTGCAATATACTCAAACTTTTGGTGTTATGGATTTCTGACAAAACATCTTGTCTTCTGAGCAAATTAATTTGAAAGGTTCTGTTTCTTTTTTGAAAAAAATTATTTTAGAAAATTTAGATGTTCATTCTTCTTGCATGAAAGAAATTTTGTCTAATCTTAATTTTTCTTCAGAAGAGATATCCTCTAATTTATTAGAGAATTCTGCCACTTTTAATTTACCTATTCAAGATGTTATGATTAAGAATTCTAAAATACAAAATAAGGTTCAGGTTTTGCAAAGTTTGGAAGAACAAATGGTGGACTCTCATTTTGATGATTCTATTTTAAATTTTCGTGAGAAGGAAATTGTTTTACCTAAAGATAATGCTAATGTGCAACCTATTTTTAAGGTTTCATTTGCTTGTGGTAAGTCTACTATATATAAAAATGTAAAAAAGATATAAAACTCTATTATCAAGCATTAATGTTTTTTTCCTAATATTGCTTCCAGGAATGTTAGAGGTTTTCATAATTTGGATAGATTAATGCTTGCAAAAACATTGTTAAAAATTTTGATGTTGATTTATTTTTATATTTTTGAAGTCAAGATTAAATTGGACCATGTTAAAGATTCTTGGTTTGATGCTAAGCATATAATTTTCCAACAAGAAGCATATTGTCATAGTTTTAATTTCTATTCTCCAAGGAGGATTTGGTTGAAATGGGATGCTTATTGTATTTATTTAATAGCATTATCATTACTAATCAATTCATACATGACTATCAAATTTGGTTCTTATTTTGTTATTTTTATTACTGTTATTTATGCTTTTAATTTAGTTGTTGAAAGGTTAACTCTTTGGCATGATATTCTTAATTTAGCTAGTAATATTTGTTCTCCTTGGGTTTTATTAGGACAATTTAATTGTTGTAGATTTGTTAATGAGAAAGCAAGAGATAATTTTATTCCTTGTGCCAAATTGTGGGATTTTAATAATTTTATTTTTAATGTTGGTCTTCATGATCTTTCTTCGGTTGGTCAATTTTTTTACTTGGTTTAATCAGCAAGTAGATTGTCTTATTCATATTAGATCGAATAGGGTTTTAGTTAATTGTCATTGGCTGTATGTTTTTCCTCATTCTTATTATCATGTAGATAATCCTATATGTTATGATCATTCTCCTATTATTAATTGCAATAAAAGTTTAACTTTTAGAAGGAATAGATTTCTTTTTAAGAATTTTTGTGTGTAATATCCCAGAATTTTGGGATTTACTTATTGATATTTTTGCTAAAGCGCCTATTGGTAATCCTATTAATGGTTTATTTAGTAAATTGGTAATCCTATTAATGTTTTATTTGGTAAATTGTGTATTCTCAAGTGCTTGATCAAGAAGCAGACTTGGGCTTCTTCTATAAATGTTTCTACAAATATTGATTATCTTTAAAAGCTACAGGAAGATTTACTTAAGAAAATTCAAGTTAATCATTTAGATCATGATTTTAATTTGACTCTTAAAGATGTTAATGGGCTTCTTAATTTTAATGTCTTTATGGTCTTCTTGGATTATTCAAATAGCTAAATCTAAATGGCTTAGAAGCGGTGAAGATTACTTGGGTTTTCTTTATTCTATAATTTGTTATAAGAAAAACAAGAATAAGATTCATATTATTTATACTCCTGATGGCATTATTGCAGATTCTAGAGGTATTTTTTAGGCTTTTGTAAGCCATTTTATGAATCTTTTAACTCTCATAAACCAGTTCTTGCTTCTTCCTTTGTCATTCTGGTTGGTAAGAGGGTTCGTGATGTTCTTATGGCATCTCTTATTGTTTAAGTTACTTTTGATGAGATTAAAAAAGTGGTTTTTATGGTCCTTCTTTGTTTACTCTAGGCCCTGATGGTTTTACCTTTGAATTCCTTAAGAATTTATGGGATATATGGGATCTTGTTTTTGTAAAGTGGTTATGCATTTCTTTAAATCTAGTTATATGTCTAGGATTGCTAAAGTCACTGGTATTACTCTTATTCCTAAGCATGTTAATGCCTCACAAATTTCTTTATGTAATGTCTTTTATAAAATTGTAGCAAAAAATTTATCTAATTGGATGTGATGTCTTATATTATTCATTCTATTCAACCTGATTTTATTAAAAAGAGAATATATATGGATGATATTATTATTACTTCTGAATTATTAAGAGAATTTAATTGTTTGGGTAAAGATAAATTCTTTTTCTCAAAATTGGATATGCATAAAACTTTTGATATTTATAGTCTATAGAGAATTTATTTTTAATAGATTGGCTCACAACTGCTTTCATCATTTTATTTCTTGGATTAACGAATGTACTAAAGATATATTCTTTCCTATTATGATTAAGGGTTTTATTAATAGTTTCTTTAGTTCTTCATATGGTCTTCATCAAGGGTGTCTGTTTTCACCTTATTTTTTCTACATTATTATGGACAGGGGAAAATCTACAATAGGGGCCCTCCGCCTTCGTTTCAATTTTTTTTTTCCACACGACGTCGATATTGCGGTATTGGTTGAAATTTTTGTGTTCTCTCTTTCTTCTTTATTTCCCCCTCTCTCTTTCGCTTGCTCTCTCTCTCTCTCTCTCTCTCTCTCTCTCTCTCTCTCTCTTACTTTCTATCTGCCCCAAGATTTTGTGGAGCTAGGTATTTCGGATCCTAATTCCCTTTATTTTGTTTACAATTGTTCTCTTATTTGGCTGGTTCTTTATTAAACTCTGTTTGTTTAGTTATTATGATTTTTGTTTTTTCCTTTTCTAAGGAGTTTTATATTCATATCTTAGAATTTTTTTTTTCTTTCATTTTAGTTTTGTAAATTTTTTTCTTTGTTTTTCTTACAAAATAATTATAATTTACTCTTAACATTTTATTCTTTAGAATGATATTGAGTATGTTTGCTCCTATTTTTTTCACCCAAAAAATAAAAATAATTACCCAACTTGAATGGGGTGCATTCGGCAAATATGAGCGTGTTCCTAACAGAATAATTTCTCCGCAGAAAGCCAAGCGTGTGGAGGCATCAAGATTTCCGCCTCGTAAGAGAAATTGACCCGCAAGCACCACAGCTATAAATACGGCGCGCATCCCGCCTAGCTGCCATTCCACCGACCTTCGCTCAGCCCCTCTACGTGTGTAGTTAGGGTTTTCTGCGCAGGTTTGGGAAGAAGAGAAAGAGGGGAGAGAACTGCTAACTCTGGTAATGGCTTTTTCCGCTCTCCTCAGATCCGCCACTCCTCCTCCCCATGCTTACGGCGATTACTTCCATTCGGATTCAAGAGCTCGAGCTCCAGAGCCGTTCAAGGTATCAATTTCTATATTCATTGGCTGTACTTTACGCGTTCTTACTTCAGGTTACGTGTACATTAAGGCGGGATTATATTCCCTTTTATTTTTTGATTCCTTCTGTTTTGCCTAAAGCGACCTGCTGATGCTCATCGGCATAAAGTAACATCAATCATCCGATTTTTTCAAGCCTGTCTTTATAATTACATTGTCTTGCACACACATTTTACTAAATTGCGTATTTGATAAAATTTCAAAAGAAAAAAGAAGTTTATTCATTCCCCTTTGATGCCATACTTTTATTCTATCTGTGGTTAGTTTTATTGTCGGACTAGTAGATCTAGCGCCTGTTCTGCTCGGATCCGTTCGAGTACTTTATGTTCTACGCTTTCGTCGGGTGTGGCCTCAACACAGTTAAGTGGTTTCCCAGTTGTTATGCTCAGAATGAGCTTTTATGGTATCCTTTTACATCTAAAGATTTTTTCATTGAGTTTTCCTAATATACTCATGTATTTATATTTTATGATTTACAGGACATCTACGAAAAAAAGCTTTCACCCTACCAAAGCTACAGCAACCGAAGCACCTCCGGTTGTTCCAAGTAATCATCTTTTAGTTTTGTTGGCTATTGAGCAAATTCTTTTATTAAATCTTTCTCAGTTATGTGATGGGAAAATATTTCTCCTTTTAACCCCTTCTATGATTAGGATCACCAACCGATGGGAGGACAAAGGTTGGCATCAATGGTACGTACTTCATCAATCTTGTCACACCTGCCCATCCTTACTCAAGTGAAACATGCGGGAGGAACAGCATGTTTGAATGCGGAAAATGCTTTGCTTGTTTAGTCAACTTGTGGTTTTATTGCATTTTCTCCATGGATAGACACACCATCAACTTAGGCTTTCAGTTTTAAAAAAATCAAGTTTGGGGGAAACATGACATGAGATCAATTGATGGAAGTCACATCAGATGCCATGCATAAGAATTAGTTTTTTTGCTCAACATGAAGTTCTGCATGCTAATATTTCAGAAGGAAACGGTTTGATTTTGCTTGGTTTCACCGCCCTTTGTTTTTAATTAACTGAAATACACACCATTGCATCAATTTGACTTATTTTGTTTTATGTATTGTTATTTTTTTAGTTTTTAAAAGGGCATAATTTTTTCTTCATCACTTGTGATTTCATCTAACAATGTTGTTGTCAGGTTTCAAGTCCTGGATGAGAAAAGTGGAGGGTTGTATTAGTTAGTCGATAATTAGTGTAAAACTTGTGGGAGAATCATGATATGAATTGTTTAATGCATTGTGTTAAAAATAAGGATAATAATCTCAGAGTACATCAACAAGGTTCTTTACATCTAAAATAAGAAATTTGTTCATGACATTGACATGCTAATATAGACACCACATAATCCATACTCATTAGCCTTAAGAATAGGATATGGTTTTTGGAATAGCCACAGTAGAAGCTATATAATCAACAATGTTTTTGGATTAGCGACAAAAGGAGAAACCTTCGGATCAACCATAGGAGAAGTTGGAGAAGCCCAAGAGAAGCTTGTACCTAGGAACCACAAAGCTGTCATAAGATTGAGAAGATTCCCCATAAACAAACATTATCAAAGAAGCTTTCGTGGATTTGCTTCAATTAAAATTGGTAGAAGCTCCCATTAGGTATAATAATATATGGAAATAGTTAAAGTCTTTTGGATTAGCTTGTGAGATAGCCATCACAATAGTGCCACAAAAACAAGAAAAGTCTCATGCTTACGCATTGTCAGAGAGAACTGCCATAGGTATTATTAGGAATATAATCCAAATTGAAATATCAAATTTAATCTTATTAATTATTTTTAGCATGGGCATGTAAGTACCTACTCAAATAATTTGTTAGAATAACAACAACAACAATAACAACATCAAGCCTTTGTACCACTACGTGGGGTTGGCTACATGAATCATTTTTCGTCATTGTGTTATGTTAAAAGTCAAATTCTCATTTAAATCTAATAAAGAAAGATTATTTCTAATATTTTCTAATCAAGTTTTAGATCTACCTATACCTTTCTTAACATAAGTCAAATCTAATACCTCAACTTTCCTAATCGGGTCATCGGAAGGCCTCCATTTAATGTGACCAAACCATCTAAGGCGACTCTCTCTAATCTTATATTCCATTGGAGCTACTCCAACCTTATCTCGTATATACTCATTTCATATCCTATCTCTAAGGGTAAAGCCAATCATTTCATCTTTGCAACACTTAACTTAGTATTATGCTTCTCTTTTAAAGGCCAACATTCGGCACCATAAAACATTGCAAGTCTCACCACCATCTTACAAATTTTTTCCTTAATTTGAGGGGGATTTTTCTATTGCATAACACGCCCGATGCATTGCTCCACTTCAACCATCCAACTTGAATTCTGCTAATAATATTTCCATGTATTTCACTATCACTCAGAACAATAGATTCAAGATATCTAAAACGTGTACTCTTATTAATGACTTGATTGCCACAAAGTCACAATCCCCTCATTAAGTCTATTACTACTAAAATTACACTCAATATATTGAGTTTTAGATCTACTCAAGCGAAAACCTTTAGACTCTAAGGTTGACCTCCATAATTCAAGTTTATCTTAAACTCCCTCTCTAGTCTTATCAACAAGAAGAATATCATCAGCAAAAAGCATATACCAAGGTACATCCTCTTGCAAATGTCTAGTGAGAACATCCATGACTAAAGCAAAAAGATATGCACTTAAGGTTGATCCTTGATGTAATCCAACCGAAATAGGAAAATACTTGGTCAAAAACCACCTTGTGTTTGAACACAAATACTAGCTCATGCATACATATCTTTAATGATTTGAATATAAGCGTTATTAACTCCTTTCATTTCACGAACTCTACATACAGTTCTCTTGGAACTTTACATATGCTTTTTCTAAATCAATAAATATCATGTGTAGATCCTCCTTATTCTATCCATATTTCTCCATCAAACCTCTCAATAAATGTATGGATTTCATAGTAGACCTACTTGATATGAATCCAAATTAATTTTGAGAAACATTAGTATAACATCGCAACCTACGCTTCATAACTCGCTCCCAAAGTTTTAAAGTATGACACATTAACTTAATTCTTTTATAATTCGCACACTCCTGTGCATCACCTTTATTTTTAAAAATAAGAATTAACACGCTCATTCTCTATTGATCTAACATCTTTTTAGTCTTCAAAACAATATTAAAAAGTTTAGTAAGCCAAGAAATTCCTTCATCTACTATGCATTTCCACATCTCTTTTGGAATATCACCAGGTCCAACAACTTTTTCACACTTCATTTTCTTTAAAGCCTCTCTAACTTCAATTTTACTAATACACTGAGAAAAACAAAAATCTTTATTTTCATTTAGGGTGTTAAGGTCATTAAAGTCAATCATATTTTTATATTTTTTTTATTAAAAAGTTTAACAAAATATCTCATCCACCTTTGTTAAATATCATGTTCTAAGAAAAATATTTTTTTTATCTTCATCCTTTATACACTTCACTTGAAATAAATTCTTACTACTCCCATCTCTTTGTTTGACTAATTTATACATATATCTTTCTCCCTCATTAATATATAATCTATTATATAAATCATTAAAAGTTTAGCACTTTGCATCATAAATAGCTTTCTTAGATTCCTTATGAGTCTCTTTATAGCTTTCCCAATTATCAGAATTTTTACATCTAAATCAATTTTTATAATAAAGTTTCTTATTTTTTTTATCTTTTCTTGCACATTTAAATTCCACCACCAACTATTTTTAACTCCAAGCACATTTTTTTGCAATAATCTTAATATCACTAGTCATTTTTTCCCACACAACATTAACATCCTCATATACAAACAAAATCTTAAGATCTAAAATCTTATTCTCAAAATACTTTTATTAATATTCTTTAAATGCTCCATTTAATCATAGAAAATTATTTTACTTTATTTTTTATTTTCTGCCCCTTTATCTTAAAGTCCAAAACTAATAATCGATATTGGGTGCATAAATTTTCACTCGAAATAACTTTACAATATTTGCAATCTAAACGATCTAATTTTCTTATAATAAAATAATCAATCTGTGTTTTACTATATCCATTTTTATAAGTGAGAAGATGCTCATATCTTTTCTTAAATAATGTATTAGCAATTAAAAAATTATAAGCTAAAGAAAAATATAATATGGTCTTACCACATTCATTTGTCGTTTCAAACCCATGGCCATCATGAATGTTTTTAAAATCATCTGCCTCTCTATCAACATGTCCATTTAAATATTCTCCAATAATTTTTTTTTAAAAGGTATCTTTTGTATTAATTCTTATAAGTCATTCAAAAATTTAATTTTGGACCCATATCTAAACCTACTTGAGGAGCATAAGCACTTATAATATTAACAATCTTAGCATCAACAACCATCTTTAAAGCTATAATTATATCTTCAATTCTATTAATTTTTATAATATTATCCTTTAAACTCTTGTCTATAATTACACCTACATCATTTCTAGTACGACTCCTATCAGAATACCATGGTTTATATCCTAAAGTATCAATCTCCTTGGCTTTCTCTCAAATCCATTTAGTTTCCTGAATGCACAAAATATTTATCTTCCTAAGAATTATAATATCTATTAATTCCATTAATTTTCCCCTAAAGGAGCCTAAACTATCATTCTCCTTTGCACATGCTTGGTATGAATACCAAATAGTGACTCACTTGATCACTACTCTTCAATACTGAACTAAAAAACAGTCAAGGTTTGTGTGTGATGGATTGCATATATTTATGTGAAAATCCTATCAAATTGACCTGTTTTACATAAATGGATTTTGTTTTTACTCTCTTTTGTATTTAGTGATTCAATTGGCTTTGAGGGAAAATTATCTTGTACCAATTTCTCATAGTTTCAAGCAAACTTTAACATGAAAAGCCATGCAGGTGTTTGTAAAAGTATCCATTAAGATTGTTGTGCTAATGGAAAAACTTGCTTGTGTTACTTTTGTTGATAGCTCGTATTGGTTTCAATGCACATCTACCTATTCTAGACATGCCCCCACTATTAGTATTTGTATCTTAAAGTCACATAAGCACTTTCTTAGGATAATATGGTATACCTTCAATTATTTTTAACATTGATACTAAGACTTTTTTTATTTTTTGTACTAATTTTCTCGAAATCTTCAGGTTTTGGTCGTATTGGAAGGTTGGTCTTACGCATTGCTGCTTCTAGGGATGATACTGAGGTGGTGACCGTCAATGATCCTTTTATTGATGCTAGATATATGGTATGTGTTGATTTCCTATTCTATCCATATATGGAATGGATGAGATTTGAAACTGCAAACTTGAGAATTTAATTTTGCAAATTTTTTTTTTTTAAGTTTAATATTTATGTATTAATTTTACAATCTTCTGATTTAGTTATATGTGTAATTAGGGATTGGTGAGGTCAGGTGACTGTCAAAGTATAACTTTGATTCAATTTGTTTTTCCTTCTATTCATTTCGTGCAGAATAAATTGAGGGAAGCTGTGATTAGTTGGAGGCTGATTTGGTCTAGTTACTCATCCTTTCTACGTAGATCAAATAAGATAGGTAAACGAGAATCGCAGGAAGGTGGTAGTGGCTATATAGTCCTCTTGTATCTGATGGACGATTCTAGTAAATAATATGTTTTCAACATGGCGTCAAGGCGGGAGAGCTTCACTTAAATCTATAGATGGTGAAGCATTGCATGGCTAGCTTGGAGAGTTCGATGTCTAAAGTTACCTCTAATCTTAGTGCTATCTTCACTAGCAACATCAAGTGGAATGAAGGCCTCCCATTCTCGAAATCACGGGGCACTAACTCAATGGGCACAACTTTGTCCATTGTTTGCATCATTATGTTTCTTGTTTGTGGAAAATGAATGCGATAAGACCTCATTGGGTGGCTACTCCTCTGAATGCCTATGACCCTAGGTTAATTTGGAAACTAGAAAATAAAAGGCATAATTTTTCTAACTTTTTTTTTTTCTGAAGCTCAAGTGATTTTAAAAAGGTGCTAAAAAATATAATAGAACATGTATTGGAGCTCTCATTTTACTTTTTTGTACAGATCGCAATCGCCTACTCCCCTGTTGCTAACAAATCCATGTCACCACAAAATTGATGCCAACTTCTCCACGTTGATGCATGATAGTGGCACATTCCTCATTCCTCTCTTATGACAAATCTTTCAACCACCTTGAGCTCCATCTTGCAACTTACAGAAATCCTCTTTCTAGTCTCCATAGAGGCTCAATGCACTGAGAAATGTCAAAAGGTTGGTAGAACCTTGTTGCCAATTACATGGGTTGGCGGAACTCCATGATGAGCTTTTGTGCTTGACCCCCTTTGTGTTTATAACCTTCCTTGGCCATATTGCCCCAACTTTTATCATCTCATCCTGGTGGCCAATTGTAAATATGTTCTCATTATCCATTAAGGGCTAGTGGTGTTGGTGAGTTAGTTCAAGCTGAACTCTTTAATGGACTTCAGCCAAGCTTAAAGAGTCGGCTAGTTGAGCTTGAGTGATGAGCTAAACTTAGCTCAATTTTGTTCTATGTATGACTCAGCTCGTTAGCTTCCTCAACTCATGATGATAAATTTATAAATCTAAAATGTTAGGTGATTATTTGAAATTATAAATAAATAAAAAATCCTAAAGCTCCTTAATTTCTCTTGCAGCCCCCAATTTTGTCACCTAGCTGTAGGCATTGCCCTTTTCAGCTGTAGGCATTGCCCTTAATTTCTCTTGCCCAATTCTTATCCTTCTCCATCAAATTCTCCTCTTTAGGCTACAATCTTTTGCACTGTTGGATGGCCCAAAGCATATTCTTGTTGTTAGTTCCACATTGTCATGGATGCCATTATCTCCATTTTTTTTTTAGGCAGAACTCCTTATCTAGTTTATCCTTTTTCTCCACATTTTATATTTTATAGAGCTGGTGAAATTTACGAATGTGGATGGAATCTACTCATTGATCCAGTCAAGGTTAAGGAGCAGCTCGTCTGGCTCAATGTTAGACATCAACATATTGTGTGGGCCCGGAAAATTGTACAATCCAAATGCGACATTGACTACAAACATGGCGTGACAACCAATGACTATGAAAGCCTACCTAAGAAAAGGAATGAACACATTCCACAACTTGCTAATGACAATAATTTAATTTTGGTAGCATAAATGACAAATGAGTCCATATATGTAATAAAGCACTAGTTTAGTCTTTTTTTATTTGTTTTAGGTAAACCAGTTCTTTTGTGACATGTTGGTCTACCTATGTATTATAAATATCTCTCTAGTTGTAATTATGGAATGAAGAATTCTGATTCATCTCTTTTCCCACTTTTTCTCTTGGAGTCTATACATACTATAAAGGTGCCTATCCTTCTTGGATTTCCCAGAAGCTTAACAAATGGTGCTCTCGTTGCATTAACATCTTACCTCCCCGCCTACACCCCTGCTATCCTGCATTTCTCCAATTTCCTGCAGTCCGGTGCAGTTCCGGCTGGCTGCCAGCTTCCAGATTCTGCTACCAAAGGCTTTCCTGCCCTCTTCTTGATGTTTTTCTTAGCAAACTAACCTTACATATTATTCCTCTTCATGTTCCCTGCATCTTCACAACATTATCAACTTCATCATACGTTCCCAGCAGCAGTCTTCACACCAGAACAGCAGAAGTCTTTGATTTGGCTGTATTTTCCTGTTCAAGAACACCAAGAACAGTAGCAGTCTTCACACAAACATCTTGTTAAATCAACCTCCTGTTGCAGCCGTTCTTTTCTAGCACAATAAGCCATCTGGCACTGCTGTTTTCAAGAACAGCGACCCTCCATTTCAGTCGCACCCCTGCAGTTTTTTTAACAAAACCAGCATGTCCAGCTGTTCGGTTTGGCATTGACAACAGCAGCCATCTGTTCCTAGCCAACGACCTTCCTTTCATACACCCACAGCATTCAAGATAACATCAGTTTCAGATTCTTGTTTTCAAGCATTATTTGGGCACCATCTTTTCTCATTCTCCATCAATTTTACACCATGAAAAATGCCAATTTAGCAGAAGTGCCCTATGCACCATGCAAACCAATCAAGAATTACAATTATTGGAAATCCACATGCGAAAATTTTGCAGCCCTCTCTTCGTCTTTTTCTTCTCTCAACCTTGAGGACAAGATTATTTTTCATGGCGATGTGAGTGTTAGAAATCAACATATTGTATGTGGCTCGAAAATTATACAATCCTTATGTGAAGAATTAGCTACAAACATGACGGGACAACCAACAACTATGAAAGCCTACCACAAAAAATGAACAAACACATTCCACAACTCACAAATGACAAAAACTTAATTTTGACAACATAAATGAATGACAAATGGGTCCACATATGTAATAAAACACTAGTCTAGATTTTTTTTTTTACTTGTTTTAGGTAGACCAGTTCTTTAGTGACATGTTGATCTACCTAAGTATTATAAATACCTCTTTAGTTGTAAAGACTTATCATGGAACGAAAAATTCTGATTTATCTCTTCTTCTCTTGGAGTCTACACCTACTCTAAAGGTGTCCGCCCTTCTTGGATTTTCAAGAAGCTTAACACTCGACTACCTCGATTAGCTCAAGCTATAGCTTTGTCAGAAGGCTCATCTCAAGCTTGAGTTCAAGCTCAAGGATAATTGATGGATTAGAGATTGAGTTGGATGTTTTTGAGCCTGCTTGACTCAATTACATCCTCATCAGTGGCAGATCATTTGGACATACCTGCAGCATGCCTTATGGTAAGATGGGCTTGATGAACTTCTTATATGCATGGGTCAATGACCCAACCTACACAGCTGACACATTATTGATACTAAATCAAGATGAAGGGAGTTGTATGCATGTTTGCCATTCAACGTGATGAGGCATTGCCATGAGAGTGCCACACATCCTCCGAGCCCCACATGGGCATGCAACATCAATGTGCATCCATGTTAATGCTTTGTTGTAGTTTCTAGACATGCCATGTCAACGAATTGCTGCATAGCAATATTTGTATGATGTGTTTCTTCGTGAATCTTGAATTCCCAGATGCCCCATTGACTCTTAATGTTCATATCTAAGGATTCTCTACAAGATTGTAAATATACCCTAGTTTTTTTTATGGAATTATAGAAAGTTGGATTTTAATTGAAGAAAAAACTTAAAAATCCTTAAAATTCAAAGGAAAAAAAAAAAAAAAAAAAAACTCGTGCAATCTCTTAAAATGATGAGTGAATTTTCTTTTAAAAATAATATAAAATTCTTTAAATTGTAGGAAGCTAAAAAAAGAGAAAGCTCTAAATCTTAAATTTGGTTTCTGAACCAGTGAAACTTGCCTTAATTATGTAGCACATCAAATGTTTAAATCAAGCTTAATGGCTCGATGTTATTCTTCGCAATAAGCTCCCTAACCTAATGTCTGTAGTAACATCACTTAGGTAATTGCCTTAATGACGTAACACATTAAATGGTTAAATCAAATCATCCCATTGGACTAATTACAAGAACAAGAGCAAAAACTCAAGCCAGCAAAAAAGTCCATGAAGCTCACGACCAAGCCCAAGTTTAGATTTATTTCAATGTAAATTTTTATTTATTTATTTACATTTGAATTTTCCAACTTGGAACCATGTTTTAGCTATGATCCCTTAATTTATTTTGCATGAAAAAAGAGTTGTATTCGAATCATATTAGAATCGCTTCAAGCATTTAATGACCGAACTTACTTTTTCCCTCCAAAATTTTTCTCCTTTTATTTGAAGTGAGGGTAGGTCAAGGTCTTGTAATGCCTATAAATATAGGTTGATATGCATTGTAATTTTCTAATTTTGAATAAAAAATTTTAGTGAAGAAATTCTCTTCTCTTTGCTTGCTGTTTAGCGCTTTAAGTGCCTATTTTTTGTGAGATAAAATAGTTATCTTCATCTACATTCTAAGCATCTTCCAAGACCAATCACTCATCATCAAAAGCCACATAGCCACACTAAGGGGCTGTTTGGCAACATGACTTACAGGATGCCGAAGAAGCGAAAGGGAGAAAATAATTACCTTCACAATGAGCTCCCTCCCTCCCGTCGTCGTCATTACTTATGATATGACAGAAGAACAACGAGCAATCATGACATTCGATCCAATGTTTACAATTGCGCAATTAGGTATTGTGCCATTTTTGTTCTTGAGGCGAGGCGTAAGCCTCAAGGCGTTTTGAGGCGTAAGCCTCAAAATGATATATTGCGTTAAGTGTAAATAAATGTTAAAAGTAAATTTTTATATAATACCCAAATAATATATTGAAAGATAACATATTATCTTTCTATTGAACTATGAAGTAATATAATGACATATGAAACAAAAAATTGCACTAGACATAAAGTGTTTAGTGATAAATTGCATGAAATATAATTCAAATATAAATATTACATGAGAAAAAAATAAATAAATAAATATAGAAATTGCATAAAAGTATCATATAACATTAAGTTCATCTTCAAATTCTTTCTTTCTTAGCTCCTTATCTACATTTAATTTCTAAAAATGACTGAAAAGTTGGCAACAACTAAAAAATCATATGTATTGTCATCACTGAGGGGATATTTATTTGAGTCGTCATCATAACAAATTAATTTCTCCCATGTCTTATCCTGTGGAGTCCAATGCCTCTCAATATACTTCTTCTTCATTTATTTCAGGCATCTTACTATTTCATAAATGTATTTCATCAACATAAAGATGAGATTAATACTCCAAAATTTTTAGAGGTGGCGGTGGTGTGCGGCTTTTAAGTGATCATTGACGATGACTATGACGGTGGTGACTGTGGTGAAGGCGATGGGCTAAAGGTTGAGAGAAAATTGCTGCGACTTGGGGGTGCACGAAGTGTGATTTTTGGGGCTTTACTTTATGAGATATATATATATATATATATATATATATATATATATATATATATATATATATACATATATATACACATATATACATATATATACACATATATACACATATATATACACATATATATACATATATATACACATATATACATATATATACACATATATACACATATATATACACATATATACACATATATATACACATATATACACATATATATATAAGGGTGAGGCGTAAGCCTCATATTGCACAACCAGTGAGGCGAGGAGAGCATCAAGGCGGGCCTCAACAAAGTTGAGGCATAAGCCTCATAAAAGAAATTCGAGGCGTAAGCCTCGAGACATTTTTCACTGGAATTGCGCAAAGGCGAGCCTCATATTGTGCAATTTTAAACAATGATTCGATCCGATAGGAAGAAATGTCGTCAAAGGAGGCGACGAAGTTTTTTAGTGATTTGTTCAAAACTCTCTCTCTTACATGAAGCATAGGTGAAATCAAATTGCTGGAGAAGAGGAAAAGCAAACCTTAGGCTTATGGCTATAGGAAGATAGTAGAGAAATTCTTGAAATTGGTAGGCGTTGCCTATAGGAATTAATTAATTTAATTCAACTAGTTTAATTAAAATTAATCAAGAATATAATGTAATTAATAAATAACTCTTAGTATAATTCGCACAGCTACAACAACAACAACATCAAGCCTTTGTCCCACTACGTGGGGTTGGCTACATGAATCCTTTTTCGCCATTGTGTCATGTTAAAAGTCAAAATTTCATTTAAATCTAATAAAGAAAGATCATTTCTAATATTTTATAACCAAGTTTTTTAGGTCTATCTCTGCCTTTTTTAACATAAGTTAAATCTAATACCTAAACTTTCCTAATCGGGTCATCGGAAGGCCTTCGTTTAATGTGACCAAATCATCTAAGGCGACTCTCTCTAATCTTATCTTCCATCGGAGCTACTCCAACCTTTTCATGTATATGCTCATTTTGTATCCTATCTCTAAGGGTCAAGCCACTCATCCACCTAAGCATCCTCATCTTTGTAACACTTAACTTAGTATTATGCTTCTCTTTTAATGACCAATATTTGGCACCATAAAGTATTGCAGGTCTCACCACCATTTTATATAATTTTCTCTTAAGTTTGAGGGGGACTTTTTTATCGCACAACAAGCCCGATGCATTCCTCCACTTCAACCATCCAACTTGAATTCTGTTGATAATATCCCCATTTATTTTACCATCACTCTGAACAATAAATTCAAAATATCTAAAACATGTACTCTTATTAATGACTTGATTGCCCAAAGTCACAATCCTCTCACTAGGCCTATTGCTACTAAAATTACACTATGTATATTCAGTTTTAGATATTCTGAAGCGAAAACCTTTAGACTCTAAAGTTGACCTCCATAATTCAAGTATACTTTCAACTCCCTCTTTCATAATTCAAGTATACTTTCAACTCCCTCTCTAGTCTTATCAACAAGAATAATATCATCAGGAAAAACCATACATCAAGGTACATCATCTTTCAAATGTCTAGTGAGAACATCCATGACTAAAGTAAAAATATGTGGACTTAAGGTTGATTCTTGATGTAATCCAACTGAAATAAGAAAATACTTGGTCAAACCACCTTGTGCTTGAACACAAGTAATAGCTCATGCATACATATCTTTAATGATTTGAATATAAGTGTTATTAACTCCTTTCTTTTCAAGAACTCTCCATAACACTTCTCTTGGAACTTTATCATATGCTTTCTCTAAATCAATAAATATCATATGTAGATCCTCTTTATTCTTTCTATATTTCTCCATCAAACATCTCAATAAATGTATGGCTTCCATAGTATACCTATCCGGCATGAATCCAAATTGATTTTGAGAAACATTAATATCACGCCGTAACCTACGCTCCATAACTCGCTCCCATAGTTTTCAAGTATAACACATCAACTTAATTCCTCTATAATTCACACACTCTTGTGCATCATCTTTATTCTTAAAAATAGGAATTAACACACTCATTCTCCACTAATTTAGCATCTTTTTAGTCTTCAAACCAATATTAAAAAGTTTAGTAAGCCAAGAAATTCCTTCATCTTCTAAGCATTTCTACATCTCTATTAGAATATCATCAGGGCCAACAACTTTTCCACACTTCATTTTCTTTAAAGCCTCTCTAACTTTGTTTTTACTAATGCGCCGATAAAAATAAAAATCTTTATTTTCATGTAGGGTGCTACTAAAGTCAATCGTATTTACTCATTCTTCATTAAAAAGCTTAGCAAAATGTTTCATCCATCTTTGTTGAATATCATCTTTTAAGAAAAATACTTTTTGATCTTCATCCTTAATACACTTCACTTGAACTAAATCTTTACTACTTTCTCTTTGTTTGGCTAACTTATACATATATATTTCTCCATATTTAGTATTTAATCTATTATAAAAATCATTAAAAGCTAAGCTCTTTGCATCACAAATAGCTTTCTTAGATTCCTTATGAGTCTCTTTATAACTTTCCCAATTATCACAATTTTTACAATTAAATAAATTTTTATAACAAATCTTATTATTTTTTATCTTTTCTTGCACATTTGGATTTCACCACCAACTATTTTTACTATTATGAGCTCTTCCCTTTTTAAAGGATTCATGTCATGATTATTCGACAAGTTTTACGCTGGCTGTCGATTACCTAACACAATCCTCCACTTTTCTCATCTAGGACTTGGGACCTGGCAACAACAGTGTTTCTTAATATAATTCATAATTAAAAATTAATATAATTAGCCTAATTAATATAATATGAAATAGAAATTATTAATTATATAGTTAACAATGTAAATAATAATCAGTAATTAATGAGTTGTAGAACACTTAAGTGATTAATGAGATAATTAATAATTAAAATAAATTAAATAACACTTAAATAATAAATTAACTTATTAATTGGAGTATTAGTTAAATAATTATTTATTTCAAAAAATAATTAACTAATTAATTAGATATCAAATACTTATTAAATTAACATCTAAATAAGTAGTTTGATAATTAGTACTATCATTAGTAATTAAGTTATTAGTTAAATTATTTGATAATGAAACTAACTTTTAATTATATTATTTATCATTATAACTTGTTGACAGTAGTTAAAATTGAAATTAATAAGTAACTCATACTTAACACGTAAATTAAATTCAAAACACAATAAATTTATTTTTTAAATTAACTAACCGCCTTAAATCTTGGATTACGTTGTCAAACAGTTTCACAAGATTTAACAACCATCTTGCCAAACAGTTTTAAAGAGTTATTATACCTAAGATTTACTAAATGTAGATTTACAGGATTTATTAAATCCTACTAAAGTTAAATCTTACTTGTTGCCAAATAACCCCTAAATCTCTTCTCGATTTCTTGACCAAATCAGGGAGCACCACCGCCTATTTTTGTTCCCTGCATCAAGATACTCCTTTAAACTCCACTAAACTTTACCAACCACACGTGAACACAAGTTCACATCCAAAAGGCTTTCCACCAACACCACTTTGGGCAATATAATACAATCACACCCCTTCAATCTTTGGTCTAGAGCCAACCTTAGATGATAAAAAAATAAGATCTTGATAGAGTTTATCATTTGTTTATCCATTTGTGCTTGTCTCATACAAAAGACAAAGGTGGAGCATAAAACTTCGAGAGTGCTAACTTTATAGAGTTAGTGTTTGAAGTTGGAGCTGTGTTATCTTTAGTTCACTGAGCCCCTCCGGGAGGGGTAGATAACTATGTGGGCGCATGCCCACAAGAAATCTTAAGCTCCAAATTTATTTATGTTTTGGTGCCCTCATCTGACTAAATATTTTTTTATCAATTTGGATTGTGGGAAAAATTCTCAGGTGTCTTTATGGGGAACTTAACTGAGAAAGACTCGTCCACAGGACTCAATAATTTATATAAACTTTTATATCACATTTGATTCTATTTTGTTAAATATTTTTAAACTTTGCTCCATATTGATTTGAAAATTATACAAAGTTTCCATCACATGCAGCGATAACAAAAAACATGTTTCTTTGACATGCTACATGAACAGCTAGCCAATCTATTAATCTCTGCGCATTAATTGATGCTTTATCCAAGTTAAAACCTTGATTATAGAATTTATTGTTCAGGCATATATGTTCAAGTATGATTCAACTCATGGCGTATTCAAAGGGACCCTTAAGGTTGTGGACGAGTCCACCCTGGAAATCAACGGAAAAAGAATTGCAGTTACCAGTAAAAGGTATTTAACGAACTTTCATCTATGAATATCAATGTAATTTGAAGTCACATGCCAAAATTATGGAAGATTTTAGCTGTTACTTTTTGAGGCTAGGTTTAAGCTGCATATATCAATCTTTCCATTAGTCACGGCAGGAGCCTCTTGTACCATATATGCATGACCTAGCTAGAAGATTTACTTTATAGCAGGTTTATACATTATTTTGAAATTCTTTGTCATCTGACAATTATAGTTCCAATCAGCTGGGCGCAGATGGAACTATGATTTTGCTTTTAGCATGAGAAGAAAACTTATTTGGTCTTTCTAAGGGTTTAGCTATCCATGAAGTAGGCTTGCATTTGGTACTGAGAACTTCGTATATCAGTTGAGGGGTACCAGTGCTCCTTCTCAAAGTGCTTCCAATTTGCTTTTGCTTTAGGACATATAGCTTGCAATTAACATTCCTCAAAAAACATTGAGAGGATTAAGTTTTTTTTTTTTTTCAAATTCTCTGGTTTAATGTTTATACTTTCTAAATTTTAGCATAAATCAGAAAATGCTTGGAGTTAAACAATCGAGAATAATTGCTCAGATAGATGGATAACAATGCTATCTATTTTTTTAATTTACTTTAATTTACCAATACTGTGTAATAAAAGATGGAAACGGGTGGATATTAAAATATATTCTGACCTTTTTTGACTTTAAGTTATGGAAACCCCTTCTTTAAAAAAAAAAGAAATAAGGTTTTACAAAATTATAGATTATAGAAAGAAAAAAAAAAAAAATACAAACAAGATCCAAGTAGGCCTTTAAGCGCTCTCGTAGCATGACGAGGACAAAATTAAGTATCCGTGTACATGCTTTGGTGCCTGCGAGAAAATAAAATTGCGCATTTTTCAAACAGGTACCTCGAAGACTCCTACGCGCTCTCGCAGCGTGGTAGGATTGAAGACTACGGCCGCGGTGTCACCCGACACCTATCCTACGCGCTCTCGTAGCGTGGTAGGGAAGGCCCAGCTCCCCAATTTTTTTTTAAATAGGGGAGACGATGGGAGGCTGTCGAAGTTTCTAAAGAACAGAGGACCTAAATTTGAACTAAATGCAGAGGACTTGAACTTGAATGAATCACAAAGAATTGACTCTACCATTACAAGGAACATAACCTAATATTTTAAACTAAATCTATGATTTACAAAATAACCAAGTTAAACATGAGAGAAAGGACTTGTGGCGGATGAACATTTCAAGAATAATTGGCTTGCAAATAAAATCAAATGGAATACATACAATGCGCTCACAATCAATAACATGGAGATATCCTAATAAATGTTGAAAATCATCATGCTAATCAGAAATACAAGCGTGCATAAAAAATAACATTTCTTACAAGTATATGCTAGAAGATTGTAATGAATGCAGTGATATGCTTGTGAGTAAGGCATACGTGGTACACGATGGTTGTGACAACCTCTTGTTAGTGTATGTGGGAGATTTATAACGAGGTGGGCAACCTGCCTATATGCATGAGTGTGAATTTATGACACACAACAACTCGCCTACAACCAACTACAAGAAACCTGTGAGTGCTTATGGGCGACAGCGAAAGATAGATGGATGAATATAACAACTCAGCCATCAATATACATAAGGAAACTGACGATAAGTGCAACTCATCGACGATCAACATCAACCTACAACCAAATACACTGACTCCCCTTGCTAGCGAGGGAGGATAATGTGCAGCATATGCAAGATCCTATGAGCTACTATAGGAAGCTCGTCATGTAGGAAGCACCAAACGAGCTATAGTAACATTAGCAAACAATAGCTGATGATCCATCATGCGTACAGTAGCTTACCTACGAGTAGTACCAGAAGATTTGTATTCAGTACCACTTGTCCGCAGATGACTATGGGAGATTCTTCATGCACACAACAGTCTGTCCACAAGCCAAGTTGACGATTTATGGATGTCTGCTGATGATCTACAGACAGATGCAGTAAAGCTTGCAGTACATGATTGTTTATTTGCAAGAAACAAAGAACGACTTGCAGCGCAGCGCTACGAGCCATTTATAAGCAATAATTGAAGAGCCATGCTAAACACAATCCATGAGCCACCAATTACTGAATGCATAATGCTGGACCATAAGTAATGCTTAGTAAAACTTGTTTGTACACGACAATGAACTTGCATAAAGCAGCAAATGATCCATAGACAAATGCTGCAATTCACCTGTAAGCAAAATCATGGAATTCGTAGTAAACACAGAAGGCCATTGGTAAACTAAGGCGGCAAATTCGCAAAATCAGGCTGTCACGTCAGATAAATCTGCTTGCTTGCAAACAATAGGTGGAAAGCTTCTTATGCGCCATTCATCTCATTTGCAGGCTGAAGTATATTCCCGCAAGTATAATACTGAAGAAAATAACAACTTGCAGAAGATAAGAATTGAATAGAACTGTCGATGCGCAATAAATGAAGTACAAAACCATGGCACCGGATCTGCAACACTCGTACAATTGATTAGCGCCAAATATTTTGAAATGCCTCCATAAATGGATTGCAATAGGCATAATAATTCATGCAAACACATCACTCAGTGTCATAACATACATTATGCCACAACAAAATGTACTGCATTTATATGCTGATGTATTACACATGCATGCATTATAATTATGCAAGAAAATAGGTGAGGCATAGCTGTATTATACATGCATATCATATATTGTTGCATTAAGTCGGTGCACAAAATGTAAAATATCGATATAAGTACAAACATACAAATATGATGCATACATCCATTAAATTGTAAGCATACAACCACCATGTGATTACATCATGCAAATGCATTATTCAAAATGCATGCAAATACCTACACCTGCATGGGCCTCGACGAGTGTGTTGTACGCACACATGTGACGTCTGAGGATGTTGCGCGGGTTATGAAATTAACCTAAGTTCGAGCCCGATCCTTCTAGGTGGATAAATAGAAGTCGACACAGCTCGAACTATCAAACAATTATACAATCATGGTGTTGACTAGAAGATTTATTTTTTATATTCATATTAGGCCTTCAAGGCTCTCAATAAGAAAAAAATCATTGATAAAAGCATAAAGCCGACAACAAACCTGATCGTCTGTTAGTAAGTAGACAGAATCGATAAGATACAACCAACAAAACAAAATTTGCCTAATAATATTCCGATGATGGCCGTGCTGACAGAAAGTCACATCCGAAGTGGACCCCAAATATTAAAAATGCCTCCCAAATTTTCATAAAAATACAAAACTTAAAAACCACCAAAAGCCTAAGATATTCAAAATTGAAATTAACCATCAAACACTTAAAGCAAAATTCATCCACCCTCCACAATAATTTGCCAAGATGGAAAGAGCCAATGTCTGGTTGAGAATATCACTAGGACTTATTCTCAAATGGTCTCTTGCTAGTAAGGACAAAGCACCTGTTCTCTAATCAGTGATTTCGCCGCCAAATGACATCACAGATAAATAGTTATGACCGAGACCCTTTGAATCGAGTGGTTTGCCGTCAAATGATACAACTAAATTACAGTCATGGCAGAGAAAGCATGTTCCTCAATGGTTTCAAATCATTGAGATATGAATCAATATGATACAATTGATAGGCATAAATCCCTCTATTAGCTAAGGTGGATTTAAATTTGTTTCCTTAGACAAATATTTACCCCACGTCTATAAGGTATCTTTCAACGAAGCAACTCATGGTTGCCTATAAGGAAGGATCTTTCTGTCAGGTTGGTCGACTGCCTCCTCTGGCCAGAGACCACGATGGCCTAGGACGACAGAACCATGGATCAGGCTCATCATTATTCCCCCACCATATGCTTTCAATGCAGGATGGTAAATTTTCGATTTTAAATATTAAATTTTCAAATAACTAAACATGCTGTTATTATACGTTAGATACCATGTATCTGTTTGATGACTAGTCTTAATCGAAAGTTCTCTATCGTTGTCGGGAGGGGTAATTAATTATAGGGGCTTGCGCCTATAGGAAACCATAACTCAGATAATAAAGTCCTTGCAAAATGAGAGCGAAATATCTGGGTGATGTCTTATTAAAACCCAATATGCCTTCTAAAAAATTTCCTCGGAACTTAAGTCTTAAAACTCTCCTTGATGATCCGAAGAAGAAAGAAAGGGGTCCACGGAGAGGCGGGGCGCGAATTTTCGGAGCCCACAAATTCGCAGCTAATTTCTTGATTACACACCCTAGAGAGTGAAACTCTTCATGTAATTAGCTATTTCAAATAATAATTAAATAATGATCCTTATAATTAGTATTGAGATTTCTATTAAAATAATACCTATATAAGTAATTAGATAAATAATATTATAATTATTTATTAAATTATTAATTAACTTATTTGATGATTAAACTAGCTTCTAAGTATATTATTAATAAATAACTTATAGTTAACACGCAAATTAAATTCAAAGCGCATTAAATTTAATTTACAAATGAACCAACCACCTTAAATCCTGAATTATATTGTCAAACAATTTCTCAGGATTTAACATATGTCATACCAAACAATTTTTAGTATTTAACATCATTAGGATTTGCTAAATCCGGATTTACTGGATTTACAAAATCCCACTAAAGTTAAATTCAATCTGATACCAAACAGCCCCTAAGTTGGCTCGTGGTTAGATATTTTTGTCGGTCTTTTTAACTTATTGTTCTTTTCATAGGTTAATGTAAAATAAAAATGCTCCCTGAGCAATTAATTGATCCCTCATATAGATTTTTATAATTTTAGTAAGCATGATTTTTGGCATTCTATTCTGCTAAATGCTTTTTCATGATCTATACATAAATATGTAAAGTGCTAGGTTAGAAGTTGCCATTGAAACTTCCATATATTAAACATAACAGATAACACCATATGACTAACTAAAAAATTAATGGATAAGGAGGAAACACAAAGTTTACCCAAAATGGTCGGCATAATGTAATAATGATGATTATGATGGTGATGAGTGCCTGACAATTTATTCCAGTGCCACATTGCGTCTCCAAAATTTATGTGTTTTTATGGGATTTGACGTGAACAGGAAGCGTTGTAGTTCTTCTTCTACTTCTTCTTTATTCCTTTAATTTAATTTGATACAGTTGACCTAATAGATTTAATGTACTGTTTTTGTTATGGTATATAAAGGGATTATTTCGATTTTCTCTACTTGCATTATATCATGCATGTACCTTATTCTCTTCTTACTCAGAGATCCAGCAGAGATTCCTTGGGGTGATTTTGGTGCTGAATATGTGGTTGAATCTTCAGGTGTTTTCACTACCATGGGCAAAGCATCAGCTCACTTGAAGGTCTTTATACAGCTTACGCTGTTGGTAATGTTCTCTTTTTATGAAGTAAATTGTCCGTCTAATTCATATTATGCAACTCTTTACAGGGCGGTGCTAAGAAGGTGGTAATATCAGCTCCATCAGCTGATGCACCTATGTTTGTTGTGGGAGTGAATGAGGAAATGTATCAACCAAGCATGAACATTGTCTCTAATGCAAGCTGCACAACTAATTGCCTAGCGCCTTTAGCAAAGGTTTGGCGTTGTTATAGAAGATTATGCATCATTACATGGCTTATTTTATCAAGTGATATATGCATTCAATAATTTAAAGATTCTTTGAGAGCTGTTGATCATTCTTATTTTATATACTTTTCTCGGTCTCGATTCATATTTATGTTTGCCATAAATCTCTCTTCCTGATTTTTTGAACTAAATGCTGAATAACTTCTAATATATTGCAGGTCGTTCATGAAGAGTTTGGTATTGTTGAGGGCCTTATGACAACAGTACATGCAACTACAGGTTTCTTTTGAATTCTATGGCAGGCAGTAGAAAGGCATTTGAAATGTTCTATATTAGCTTCATACTTTCATTTCATGACATTTGCTTTATTGTGTCCAGCAACGCAGAAGACTGTTGATGGTCCTTCTATGAAGGATTGGAGGGGAGGCCGTGGAGCGAGTCAGAACATCATACCCAGTTCAACAGGTGCCGCAAAGGTAGGATATAAATGATTAGAGGCTTTTGGATTTTTTAACGTTTCATATGCAAAGTTTATATCCTTTTATAGGCTGTTGGAAAAGTTCTTCCTGAACTCAATGGGAAGCTAACTGGCATGGCCTTCCGTGTTCCAACACCAAATGTTTCTGTTGTTGACTTAACTTGCCGACTTGAGAAAGATGCATCCTATGAGGACGTCAAGGCAGCTATAAGGTATTTTGCTTTTACTGTCATTTTGCACTATTTAAGCTTCGTTTGGGACATCTTTCTTACTGCTTTTTAAAGCAGCTTTTTAGTTCAAAAATTTTAACTTTTTATTAAAAAGTTGCTTTATGAAGCAGTAAGAAAGCAATTCCAAACGAAGCCTTAGTTTCTCATAAGCCACATAATATCATCGTCTTTGTGTTGACCTTTTAATCAAAGTGACACAAAATAACCCTGAAACAAACAGTCCCTTGGGCTTTTTGTGGAACAGCTGCATCCCTCTGATTTATTTGCTTCTTAAGGTTGTTGTTTCTGTTCTACTCATTAATTTCTACAATTTTTGCTTCATTCACTTCAACCTGCTCCTTTTGTTTGTATTATTATTATTATTATTATTATTATTATTATTTATTTTTATCTTGTATGATCTGTTTTAGATGTGCATAAAGTCATGCTTGATTTATCTTCTCATCATTCATAAAGTGCAAGATTTTACCTATAAATGCGCGGAAGAGATTCAGTGTTCCATTTATCCAATGCCATATCTTATCTAATCGTCTTTTCCTTTGTAATTATTCTGTGCCTCGTTGAAGTCTAGCTTTGATATAAAATTTGTGAAATAGGTTTGCATCAGAGGGTCCCTTGAAAGGCATCCTTGGATACACTGATGAAGATGTTGTTTCTAATGATTTCATTGGCGACTCCAGGTATATGAGGGGTGTATTTCTGCTATGCTTTCTCCAAATAGCTAGTATACCTGTCGATGTTGATTTATCTTCTGCTACTTTTTTTCTTCCAGGTCAAGCATCTTTGATGCTAAGGCTGGAATAGGATTGAGCTCTCAATTCATGAAACTTGTTTCATGGTATGACAACGAGTGGGGTTACAGGTAAATAAATTTGGCCATGACTTCCCTACTGCTGAATTCTTATTGTGTTCTTGGGAAAATTATTAGGTGCGGAGACCAGACGTAGAGATACGTCTTAACATCCACTTAAAATTTGACACGTGTAGTGCACTTTGGTTGCACTTTTTGTGCACTTTAGTTGCATTTTAGCTGCGCTTTGACTGTTCTTTTGTTGCGCTTTTTTATTGCGCTTTAGTTGCACTTTGAATGCTCTTTTGTTGTACTTTTTTTACTGCGCTTTACCTGCACTTTGGCTGTGCTTTTGATGTTGTTTGGCTTAAAGTTCCACAGACACATTAAATATATAAAGTAAAAAATAAATCCAATTGAATATCCAAGCGTCTTCTTCATGTGTCAATATTTTATTGGAGTCCGATGCAACTCTCCATCGGTGTTCTTGAGCTAATTTAGCAATCCTGTTTTGGTTTCAGCAACCGCGTGTTGGATCTGATAGAGCACATGGCCCTCGTCTGCGCTCGTAATTAATGCATGATTCCTGAATAGAGACAAAAGCATAAGATGTTTGCTGCTTGTTTCTCCAATAATTTTCCAGGAACCGACTTCTTTAAATTGTTTTAGTTTTGATACCAAGGTCTGCTTTCCGGGTCCCTAACACTGGAGAGAAGAGCAAGCTGGATTTCTAATTTCTATACCATGATCTGTATCAACAAGAAAATAAGGAAGTTAATTTATTCTTTCAGGATTTTATTGAAATTTGATCTTGTTTTAAGGTGTGTAGTCATGTTGGGTTTTTTGTTGTGTATTTTTTTATCAAAACCTCAGTGTGAAACAAGAGTAGAAATCAAAATTAAGGGAGTGGAATATGCTTAAAATAATAATTAGTATGAGCTTATTTTGATGGCCATTTACATATGAGCTTATTTAGACTAAAAACTGGAAGGTTATTTACATAAAACTTTTTGAGTGATCAAGATATTTTTAAGATGATCGGGGATACTCAGATGGCACTTGAGATTAAAGCTTCGTTTGAGACGATTTTTTTCCTGCTTCTTAAAGCAATTTTTTAGTACAAAATTTAAAATTTTTGTACTAGAAAACTGCTTTAAGAAGCAGGAAGACAGCCGTTTCAAACGAAGCCTAAATTAATAGCCTTGGAAAGTTTGTAGAGTTATTAGGTTGGTCATAGTAAAATGATGCCTCAAGCTTAAGATTTAACAGGCAAAATTTATAAGCCCAAAAAAATATAGAAAATGTTATAATTATAGTAAAAATTATTTTTATGAAAGTTCCATCAAATTTTGAAGCCATTTTAATCAATCATTTTCATTATTTTAATTAGTAATTATAAAATTGCAAAAGTATCTTTATTTAATAAATAAAAAGAATAATTATTTTCTTATTTAATTATATTAAATTCTTCTCCTGCCATAGATGCAAATTCATGCATAAAATATATACATTATATTTGTAAATTATTATTAATGCATTCGGTTATAATCTAAATAAAGTATTTAACACCCTTTGTATCATGTTTTGCTAGTATTTAATCCTCATTGAGAAGATGAGTGATCACACTTAATTGAGCTTTTGAGCTGCTAAGAATTGGAATAAATAACATAGGGAAGATATTATGTTAGGCCATCTCCAATCAAACAGTAGTGTTTTTTGATTTGCATGATTTGCACTTTGCAGTAGCCTCCACCGTCCAATCAAACAAAAAATCGAATATCATTTTGGCGTTTTGAATAGTGCCGGTGGAGATTTCGGGCATCTCCAACTGAAAATCTCATTTTTTTTCACTCCAAAGTGCAGTGAAATTAAAAAAATGCCGTGATGCATCTTCAACCGAACTCCATTGCAGCCATTCTGTGAAGTTAACCATCTTTCTCCTCTTTCGTGCGTTTCTTCAGCAAATTCGACAGATACAGAAAAATAGCATAGGTGAACAGTATGACGTCAATATTGGCATCACCTTGTTCACTCGCAACCAAATAGCGAAAGTTTTACAATTGGGTTGAAGCTCACGAGCGAAATCATTTGTGTTTGAAGTTCGGTTGAAGAAGGCCTAAACAGGAGATAAGATTAATGACGCACCGTTTGATTGGAGAGGAGGGAGTTGAATATAAGAGAATGTTGATAATAATAATCTTCCATCTGACTAAAACAAAATAATATGCTAAGCTACAGTAACACAATACATTATACATTGCCGACACACTTAATAAAGACTGGGGTAGCTGATAGACCAGCGCTTACGTGTTGTTATCTTCGTCATCGAAACCCTGCACCTGGAGCTGATTTCCTGTTCCATGAGGACCATGACAAGCCTAGCCACTCAGCCCAGCGCCTACGTGTGCAAGTTCCAGAATTTGAAAAAAGACAAGCCTATCCAATAAGCTACCCTTCACGTGAAGTTCTTTTCGTGTTACGTGGCAACCTTATCTCCCCTCCCATCCATCAATATATACATGCTTGAAATGAATGAAAGAAGAATCGGTAGAAAGCATGGAGCTGAAGAAGGCAATCCTGTGGTTCATCTTCCTCGTCGTTCTCCTTCTCTCTTCTTCCCGTAAGCGTTTTTCAGTCTTATATCTATCACTCTCTGGTTTAATTTTCTGTATAGATGAGTAAAATGAGAATGGATGAATATGCAGGGGAGATGGTGCCGGGAGTGGAAGGGAAGCTCTGCAGGGTCAGAGGGGCGAGGGGACATTGCCTGACTGACCACACCTGCGACAACGTTTGTACTAGTGAGGGCTTCGTGCGCGGCAAGTGCGACGGCATCCTCCGCCGCTGCCATTGCGATAGGCAATGCTAGTTCTGTAGCTGGTTTTTGCTAGTATGTTATGTACGCGCTTGAATAAATAAAGGGGCAGAAGCTTCACTCTCTGTGAGCTCTGTGCTTGCTATATTCGGCTGTTTTCGAAGATGAATAAGTTACTATGCTTAATGCATTCTATTATTGGAACTTTCTCATTGGTGTTTCTTTTCTTTTAGTCTGAAAAAAAATCATTTTATTTTAGTTTTTCTTCAAACACGACTTCTAGGTTTACAAGGAGGGACGAAACCATTCATAATTTTCAAGGGGCAAATTTATTATTAATTATTAACATATATGTCGGGGTTCAAGGGGACAGCGCCCCTCAGCGGGGTTCGACCTGTCCGATCAGGTCGCAGGATTGCGGGGGTTAAGTGTACACATTAAATACAGAGTAAATACACAACTCATAAGCTATATGCTCGATGGGCGAAGGAGTTGAACTTGAGCAAACTCGGACTTATGCTCTAGTTTTAGAGTCAGCTCTTTTAAAAAATATTAATGTAAACTATGGATAAAATTTCTTAGCATTTAGTGGTTTAAATGAAATTTTATTAAAAATATTTAAACATTAATTATATTGTACTATCATACAAAATGTTCCTTAATATATTTTGTGCAGTGCTTAATGAAAAAATTATTATACATACTTTATACGATAAGAGTTATTTTAATGCTTATTTTTTTATTTCATGTCAGAGTTTTTTTTTAATGTAATAAGTTATTAGATGTTTATAAATGTAATTATTATAAAAAGTATGTAAATATTTAATTATTACATTATATTATTAAATAACTAATTATATTTTATAATAATTTAATTATATTATTATATAGCTTTATTATATTGAGGTATAATGTATTATAAATTTTTTTTACTGATACATAATATAACAGGATAATTTTTTTAATTAAAGACCGTAATTATTAATTTCGTTGATTTGGACGACCGATCTGAAATTTCTAATACTCAACTTTTAAATTTTATTAATATTAAATTCATTAAAATAAAATACACATTTTCATATATATATTTTGATCTGATTCAGATAATAAAATGCTATATAAATATAAATTTTTTTATATCCAAATAAAATTACTTATTAAATATGCAAATCAATATATGAACATTTACTTATAAATCTTAATTTCCACAGATAACCTATGTAAAAAAGAAATCTTGAAAAGTAATAATTCGCCCAGCTGAAGAGCTTCATTTTCACGCGTGTGAGATCACTTGAAATGGCATGAGGTCGGGTTTGATTCACGACAATGGCGAAAGAGCAAAGATCACGACATGGAGAAGCTAAGATCTCGACCTTTTCCTGTAACAGCAATTTGTGTTTCTTTTTTGAATCTCTGAAATATCACAGAGGATTTGTTGTAAATCTGGACAGCATCAGGTACTAGATTTTAGAATAATTTGAAGCCTTCATTTGCATAATCAACAATCATTATTTAACCCTTGATTAATTATCCAAACATTCACTATTTTTGGTGTCATTATTATCTTTTTGATGCCAACACCTTATAGGTTCTGTATGGCGAAGATCCACAGATTGCGTCGGAGAGGAGATTATGATAGATATTTAGGGGGTTTCAATTAGACTTTATTCTATCCATAGCGTTTTTCTATTTTTAATTCTTTAGCCTTATGATTACCCTTTTTTAAGAGAACTGGTGCAGGGTAAAGTGCATTCCCTTGTTCTTAGGTTCCTTGAATTCTTTTGTGCAGTCATCGATGTTATGGGCTTTCCTGTGGTTATTGTGCAGTTGGCTGGGTAATGCATTTCTTCTCTTTTATTTTCCATTAGTAAAGATAGGGAGCTTAATGTTTTTTTTTTATCCTTTTGAGAAAGGGAAGCAAAAAGCAAGCCCAGTTATTATTAAGATCAATGAAGTGGGATGTGTTTTTTTTTTCAGTTTTTTGTTTACCACCTATATTGGTATCCATTGTCATTTCTTGCGTTATTATTTCTGCAAAGAATATTGGAACTGGCGTTTGAGGATATTCCACATTTTATTATATTGATGTTATTATGAATTTCACAAGATTAATCCCTATATATAATTGCTACTAGTCATTATGCTTTGATGCATGTAAGAAACTATATATTTGCTTTTTTTCCTTGGACTTACTATATGTCCATTCCAAATATGTAATTTCTAAACATTTGTCTTATTTACCATATGTACAAGCATTCTCACAGTTTGAAATTATTCTCTCATTATCACCAGATTTTTCTTCATTATATTCACGGGCTCTGAAAATTTGCGCCCCGGCCTCTTCGCGACCAATTATTTTGTTGATGAGGAGAGTTTTAACGGATTTATGTTTCGAGTAAATTTTCAGAAGGCAAATTTGGTTTTAAGATAAGACACTACCTAGAGATTTTACCCTAATTTTGCGAGGAATTTATGATCTGAGTTCTGGTTTCTATAAGAGCAATCCCCTATAGTTAATTTCCCCTCTTGATAACATGAGAGAACTTTTGATTAAGGTTAGTCGTTAAGGAGGTCGCAAGCCTAGCATTTAAAAGAAATAAATTTAGGTTTTGAATTTGGTTTTGGATTTTAGAGTTCATGATTTAAATTTATCACCAGATACTTAAAACAAGTGATAGGGGGAAATGAAGACAAGCTCGATCAAAATCCTATGGTTCTGTCGTCCCGGGCTATTATGGTCCATGGTCTACTTAGTCAGAGGAGGTAGTCGACTCAACCTAACAAAATGCATCTTATTGGCAGCCATGAGTTGCTTCGTCCAAGAATCCCTTATAGATTTAGGGTGGTGTTTGTCTAAGAGGACACATTTGAATCTACCTTAGCTAACAAAAAGAGATTTATGCTTATCGATTATACCCTATGATTTATTACTCAAGTGTTTGAAACTGTTAGGGAACATATGAGTTTTGGCCGTAATCGTAATATAATAGTGTCATTTTGCGGCA